CGATTAACAGGTTTCCATCATGCACTCACATGGCATACATCCACACATTAAAGGACCCTATACACTGTAACATTCTTACCCATCCTGAGTGCAGAAGGATGACCTTCAGCCGAGGAGGCTCAATTCCAGTTTTCCTGAATTCCTTCATTTTTTTTTTTCAACAAGTCGGCCGTCTCCCACCGAGGCAGGGTGACCCAAAAAGAAAGAAAATCCAAAAAAGAAAATACTTTCATCATCATTCAACACTTTCACCTCACTCACACATAATCACTGTTTTTGCAGAGGTACCAAGAATACAACAATTTAGAGGTATATATGTATAAAAATACACAATATATCCCTCCAAACTGCCAATATCCCAAACCCCTCCTTTAGAGTGCAGGCATTGTACTTCCCATTTCCAAGACTCAAGTCCAGTTATATAAAATAACTGGTTTCCCTGAATCCCTTCACTAAATATTACCCTGCTCACACTCCAACAGCTCGTCAGGTCCCGAATACCATTTCTCTCCATTCACTCCTATCTAACACGCTCATGCACGCTTGCTGGAAGTCCAAACCCCTCGCCCACAACACCTCCTTTACCCCCTCCCTCCCAACCTTTTCGAGGATGACCCCTACCCCGCCTTCCTTTCCCTACAGATTTATACGCTCTCCATGTTATTCTACTTTGATCCATTCTCTCTAAATGACCAAACCTCCTCAACAAACCCTCTTCAGCCCTCTGACTAATACTTTTATTAACTCCACACCTTCTCCTAATTTCCACACTCCGAATTTTCTGCATAATATTTACACCACACATTGCCCTTAGACAGGACATCTCCACTGCCTCCAACTGCCTCTTTGCTGCAGCATTTACAACCCAAGCTTCACACCCATATAAGAGTGTTGGTACTACTATACTTTCATACATTCCCTTCTTTGCCTCCATAGATAACATTGTTTGCCTCCACATATACCTCAATGCACCACTCACCTTTTTTCCTTCATCAATTCTATAATTAACCTCGTCCTTCATAAATCCATCCGCTGACACGTCAACTCCCAAATATCTGAAAACATTCACTTCTTCCATACTCCTCCTCCCCAATTTGATATCAAATTTTTCTTTATCTAAATCATTTGATACTCTCATCACCTTACTCTTATCTATGTTCACTTTCAACTTTCTACGTTTACACACACTCCCAAATTCGTCCACTAACCTTTGCAATTTTTCTTTAGAATCTCCCATCTCCCATAAGCACAGTATCATCAGCAAAAAGTAACTGTGTTACATCCCATTTGTATTTAATTCCCCATAATTTAATCCCACCACTCTCCCACTACCCCATCTATAAATATATTAAACAACCATGGTGACATTACACATCCCTGCCTAAGACCTACTTTTACCAGGAAGTAGTCTCCCTCTCTTCTACACAATCTAACCTGAGCCTCACTATCCTCATAACTCTTTACAGCATTTAGTAACTTACCACCTATTCCATATACTTGCACCATCTGCCACATTGCTTCCCTATCCACTCTATCATATGCCTTTTCTAAATCCATAAATGCAATAAAAACTTCCCTACCTTTATCTAAATACTGCTCACATATATGCTTCAATGTAAACACTTGATCTACACATCCCCTACCCACTCTAAAACCTCCTTGCTCATCCGCAATTCTACATTCTGTCTTACCTCTAATTATTTCAATAATAACCCTACCATACACTTTTCCTGGTATACAGTGGACCCCCGCATACCGTTGGCATCACATAACGTTTAATCCGCATACCGCTCGCTTTTATCGCAAAAATTTTGCCTCGCATACCGCTCAAAAACCCGCTCACCGCTGTTCGTCCGAGACGCGTCCAATGTGCGCCCTTAGCCAGCCTCACATGTGCCGCCGGTGGCATTGTTTACCAGCCAGCCTCCGCGGTAACATCCAAGCATACAATCGGAACATTTCGTATTATTACAGTGTTTTTGGTGATTTTATCTGCAAAATAAGTGACCATGGGCCCCAAGAAAGCTTCTAGTGCCAACCCTACAGCAATAAGGGTGAGAATTACTATAGAGATGAAGAAAAAGATCATTGATAAGTATGAAAGTGGAGTGCGTGTCTCCGAGCTGGCCAGGTTGTATAATAAACCCCAATCAACCATCGCTACTATTGGTGGTACAGCTGCTGCTGCTGCTGGACCACCGTCAGCTGCTGCTGCTGCTGCTGTAGCACCGTTGTTGGTGTGGCTTATTGAGAATACCACGAAACAATTAACCCCAGAGGATTTGCCACCCAGGATAACCCAAAAAAGTCAGTGTCATCGAAGACTGTCTAACTTATTTCCATTGGGGTCCTTAATCTTGTCTCCCAGGATGCAACCCACACCAGTCGACTAACACCCAGGTGAACAGGGAAAAATGCCTGGAACTAGTGCTCATATTGGTGAATTTAAAGCCAGCAAAGGTTGGTTTGAGATATTTAAGAATCGTAGTGGCATACACAGTGTGATAAGGCCTGTTCTGGAAGAAAATGCCAAACAGGACCTACAGTACTCAGGAGGAAAAGGCACTCCCAGGACACAGTGTCTCATCAGTCATTGCTGCATCTTCAATACAGGTGTCATTTATTCTTCATTTAGTAGAGTAGTACATGCACAATATATATTGTGCATGTACTACTCTACTATTGTGCATGTATCCTTCTCTTTGTGTGTAGGAAAATGTATATTTCATGTGGTAAAAATTTTTTTTTCATACTTTTGGGTGTCTTGCACGGATTAATTTGATTTCCATTATTTCTTATGGGGAAAATTCATTCGCATACCGATCATTTCGCATAACAATGAGCCCTCTTGCACGGATTAAAATCGCTATGCGGGGGTCCACTGTACTCAGTAAACTTATTCCTCTATAATTTTTACAATCTCTTTTATCCCCCTTCCCTTTACATAATGGGACTACACACGCTCTCTGCCAATCCCTAGGTACCTTACCCTCTTTCATACATTTATTAAACAAAAATACCAACCATTCCAACACTATGTCCCCCCCTGCTTTTAACATTTCTGTCATGATCCCATCAGTTCCAGCTGCTTTACCCCCTTTCATTCTACGTAATGCCTCACGCACCTCCCCCACACTCGCATCCTGCTCTTCTTCACTCCTAAAAGTTGGTATACCTCCCTGGCCAGTGCATGAAATCACCGCCTCCCTTTCTTCATCGACATTTAAAAGTTCCTCAAAATATTCTTGCAATCTGCCCAAAACCTCCACCTCCCCATCTACTAACTCCCCTACTCTGTTTTTAACTGACAAATCCATTTGTTCCCTAGGCTTTCTTAACTTGTTTAACTCACTCAAAATTTTTTCTTTTCATTAAAATTTCTTGACAGTACCTCTCGCACTCTATCATCCACTCTCCTTTTGCACTCTCTCACCACTCTCTCCACCTTTCTTTAACTCTCCATATACTCTGCTCTTCTTATAACACTTCTGCTTTGTAAATGCCTCTCATAAGCTACCTTTTATCTCTTTTATCACACCCTTTACTTCATTCCACCAATCACTCCTCTTTCCTCCTGCACCCACCCTCCTATAACCACAAACTTCTGCCCCCACATTCTAATATTGCATTTTTAAAACTATTCCAACCTATCCCACTACTCATACCTGCACCAGCCCACCTTTCTGCCAATAGTTGCTTATATTTCACCCAAACTTCCTCCTCCCTTAGTTTATACACTTTCACCTCTCTCTTACTTGTTGTTGCCATTTTCCTCTTATCCCATCTACCTCTTACTCTAACTGTAGCTACAACTAGATAATGATCTGATATATCAATTGCCCCCTCTATAAATGTGTACATCTTGGAGCCTACCCATCAACCTTTTATCCACCAATACATAATCTAACAAACTACTTTCATTACGTGCTACATCATACCTTGTATATTTATTTATCCTCTTTTTCATAAAATATGCATTACTTATTACCAAACCTCTTTCTACACATAGCTCAATTAAAGGCTCTACATTTTCATTTACCCCTGGCACCCCAAATTTACCTACTACTCCCTCCACAACATTTTTACCCACTTTAGCATTAAAATCCCCTACCACAAGTACTCTCGCACTTGGTTCAAAACTCCCCACGCATTCACTTAACATTTCCCAAAATCTTTCTCTCTCCTCTATACTTCTCTCTTCCCCAGGTGCATATATGCTTACTATAACCCACTTCTCACATCCAACCTTTATTTTACTCCACATAATCCTTGAATAATACATTTATAGTCCCTCTTTTCCTGCCATAGCTTATCCTTCAACATTATTACTACTCCTTCTTTAGCTTTAACTCTATTAGAAACCCCTGACCTAATCCCATTTATTCCTCTCCACTGAAACTCACCCACCCCCTTCAGCTTTGTTTCACTTAAATCCAGGACATCCAGCTTCTTCCCATTCATAACATCCACAATCATCTCTTTCTTATCATTCGCACAACATCCATGCACATTCAGACTTCCCACTTTGATAATTTTCTGCTTATTCTTTTTAGTAATTATTACAGGAAAAGGGGTTACTAGCCCATTGTTCCCAGCATTTTAGTTGACTTTTACAACACGCATGGCTTACGGAGGAAAGATTCTTATTCCACTTCCCCATGGATGTAAAAGGAAAAGTAATTAGAACAAGAACTAAGATAAAATCAAAGAAAACTCAGATGAGTGTGTATAAATAAACGTGTACATGTATGTTTAGTGTGACCTAAGTGTAAGTAGAAGTAGCAAGATGTACCTGTAATCTTGCATATTTATGAGACAGACAAAAGACACCAGCAATCCTACCATCATGTAAAACAATTACAGGCTTTCGTTTTACACTCACTTGGCAGAACGGTAGTACCTCCCTGGGCGGTTGCTGTCTACCAACCTTCATAAATGTTATTATTCACTGTTACATTTAAAGATCCCAGAATTATTTTTATTTGTAATAAAGAACTCACCTGTGTCAGTAACCATTCTTGATTTCCTCGTTGCCCATGACAGTGACTCATTCGAACTTTCTCCGTTGACTGCAAGAAGAAAGTTGGCACCTCGGCACATACCTCCTCTCTTCGAAGTTCTCCAGTTTTTGACAGGGACATAAACTACAGGAATAATACTTATTTACACTCATTTAAGAGTAAATTTCAAAATCAGTTTACAGTTAAGATAGATTAGATTAGACAAATGCTATACATTGTAGATAGGATAAATAAAGGGCTGGGAATAGTTGTAAAAGTAAGACCTGCCTAGCTTGGGCCAGGTGTACTGTATTGCTCTATATTTATAATGTGCTCAGAAACTTTCACCTCATCCTGGTTCCAGCCTTTTGAACAGCTTGATAAAATATTTTTTTTTTTTTTATTATCACACCGGCCGATTCCCACCAAGGCAGGGTGGCCCGAAAAAGAAAAACTTTCACCATCATTCACTCCATCACTGTCTTGCCAGAAGGGTGCTTTACACTACAGTTTTTAAACTGCAACATTAACACCCCTCCTTCAGAGTGCAGGCACTGTACTTCCCATCTCCAGGACTCAAGTCCGGCCTGCCGGTTTCCCTGAATCCCTTCATAAATGTTACTTTGCTCACACTCCAACAGCACGTCAAGTATTAAAAACCATTTGTCTCCATTCACTCCTATCAAACACGCTCAAGCATGCCTGCTGGAAGTCCAAGCCCCTCGCACACAAAACCTCCTTTACCCCCTCCCTCCAACCCTTCCTAGGCCGACCCCTACCCCGCCTTCCTTCCACTACAGACTGATACACTCTTGAAGTCATTCTGTTTCGCTCCATTCTCTCTACATGTCCGAACCACCTCAACAACCCTTCCTCAGCCCTCTGGACAACAGTTTTGGTAATCCCGCACCTCCTCCTAACTTCCAAACTACGAATTCTCTGCATTATATTCACACCACACATTGCCCTCAGACATGACATCTCCACTGCCTCCAGCCTTCTCCTCGCTGCAACATTCATCACCCACGCTTCACACCCATATAAGAGCGTTGGTAAAACTATACTCTCATACATTCCCCTCTTTGCCTCCAAGGACAAAGTTCTTTGTCTCCACAGACTCCTAAGTGCACCACTCACTCTTTTTCCCTCATCAATTCTATGATTCACCTCATCTTTCATAGACCCATCCGCTGACACGTCCACTCCCAAATATCTGAATACGTTCACCTCCTCCATACTCTCTCCCTCCAATCTGATATTCAATCTTTCATCACCTAATCTTTTTGTTATCCTCATAACCTTACTCTTTCCTGTATTCACCTTTAATTTTCTTCTTTTGCACACCCTACCAAATTCATCCACCAATCTCTGCAACTTCTCTTCAGAATCTCCCAAGAGCACAGTGTCATCAGCAAAGAGCAGCTGTGACAACTCCCACTTTGTGTGTGATTCTTTATCTTTTAACTCCACGCCTCTTGCCAAGACCCTCGCATTTACTTCTCTTACAACCCCATCTATAAATATATTAAACAACCACGGTGACATCACACATCCTTGTCTAAGTCCTACTTTTACTGGGAAAAAATTTCCCTCTTTCCTACATACTCTAACTTGAGCCTCACTATCCTCGTAAAAACTCTTCACTGCTTTCAGTAACCTACCTCCTACACCATACACTTGCAACATCTGCCACATTGCCCCCCTATCCACCCTGTCATACGCCTTTTCCAAATCCATAAATGCCACAAAGACCTCTTTAGCCTTATCTAAATACTGTTCACTTATATGTTTCACTGTAAACACCTGGTCCACACACCCCCTACCTTTCCTAAAGCCTCCTTGTTCATCTGCTATCCTATTCTCCGTCTTACTCTTAATTCTTTCAATTATAACTCTACCATACACTTTACCAGGTACACTCAACAGACTTATCCCCCTATAATTTTTGCACTCTCTTTTATCCCCTTTGCCTTTATACAAAGGAACTATGCATGCTCTCTGCCAATCCCTAGGTACCTTACCCTCTTCCATACATTTATTAAACAATTGCACCAACCACTCCAAAACTATATCCCCACCTGCTTTTAACATTTCTATCTTTATCCCATCAATCCCGGCTGCCTTACCCCCTTTCATTTTACCTACTGCCTCACGAACTTCCCCACACTCACAACTGGCTCTTCCTCACTCCTACAAGATGTTATTCCTCCTTGCCCTATACACGAAATCACAGCTTCCCTATCTTCATCAACATTTAACAATTCCTCAAAATATTCCTTCCATCTTCCCAATACCTCTAACTCTCCATTTAATAACTCTCCTCTCCTATTTTTAACTGACAAATCCATTTGTTCTCTAGGCTTTCTTAACTTGTTAATCTCACTCCAAAACTTTTTCTTATTTTCAACAAAATTTGTTGATAACATCTCACCCACTCTCTCATTTGCTCTCTTTTTACATTGCTTCACCACTCTCTTAACCTCTCTCTTTTTCTCCATATACTCTTCCCTCCTTGCATCACTTCTACTTTGTAAAAACTTCTCATATGCTAACTTTTTCTCCCTTACTACTCTCTTTACATCATCATTCCACCAATCGCTCCTCTTCCCTCCTGCACCCACTTTCCTGTAACCACAAACTTCTGCTGAACACTCTAACACTACATTTTTAAACCTACCCCATACCTCTTCGACCCCATTGCCTATGCTCTCATTAGCCCATCTATCCTCCAATAGCTGTTTATATCTTACCCTAACTGCCTCCTCTTTTAGTTTATAAACCTTCACCTCTCTCTTCCCTGATGCTTCTATTCTCCTTGTATCCCATCTACCTTTTACTCTCAGTGTAGCTACAACTAGAAAGTGATCTGATATATCTGTGGCCCCTCTATAAACATGTACATCCTGAAGTCTACTCAACAGTCTTTTATCTACCAATACATAATCCAACAAACTACTGTCATTTCGCCCTACATCATATCGTGTATACTTATTTATCCTCTTTTTCTTAAAATATGTATTACCTATAACTAAACCCCTTTCTATACAAAGTTCAATCAAAGGGCTCCCATTATCATTTACACCTGGCACCCCAAACTTACCTACCACACCCTCTCTAAAAGTTTCTCCTACTTTAGCATTCAAGTCCCCTACCACAATTACTCTCTCACTTGGTTCAAAGGCTCCTATACATTCACTTAACATCTCCCAAAATCTCTCTCTCTCCTCTGCATTCCTCTCTTCTCCAGGTGCATACACGCTTATTATGACCCACTTCTCGCATCCAACCTTTACTTTAATCCACATAATTCTTGAATTTACACATTCATATTCTCTTTTCTCCTTCCATAACTGATCATTTAACATTACTGCTACCCCTTCCTTTGCTCTAACTCTCTCAGATACTCCAGATTTAATCCCATATATCTCCATAATTCCCAGTGTTCAAATTGGATAATTCTACCATCATTTGAGGTGTTACAAACTCAACATCTAAACTGTTGTAAAAATAAGTACAGGAGGGCCCCGCTTTACAGCGTTTCACTAATGCAACGATTTTCAATTATACCCTTTCTTCATTTATTCCAACCTCCTACAATAAATACATTTACCATTTAATAGAAGCTAAGCATGAAAATATTTTAAGTAATATGTGTACTGTATATGCATTATTTAGGTCTAGTTCTATTGCTCACTTTATGATAGTGTAAACATGTTATCAGGCTTTTATATGCACTTGAGAGTGAAAAAAAAGGCTGTGTTTTACCTTACAGCTATTTTTGCTTTACAGCGGTAGTTCAGAACCTAACCTGCTGTTAAGACAATACAATATTTTAAATATGTAAAAGTAATAAGAGGAAATCTCTTTTTTTTTTATATATATATAATTTGTTACATGCCTAAACAGTGTTTTAAGACCTTGGTTACGAGTTTAGCACTTAGTTATGATTATAATAATTAAGAATTTGGTTACTATGATGAACAGTTCTTGCATAACACTGCACTGCCTTATTTATAATATGCTAATTAAGCATATGCTAAACATGGAATGCACCATATTTGTTCATCTTTCTTCATGACTCCTGAAATCGTAATGACACGATTGCAAACAAACCATACCACAGGCGGGGATAGAACCCTCGATCAGAGAGTCTGGTCCAGTGGCTAACGCGACGGTCTGGAGTTTTGAGACTCTCTGATCACAGGTTCTATCCCCGCTCATGGTATGGTTTGTTCATCTTTCATTCTCAAGTGAATTTGTGTACAAGAGTTTCTCCACTACTATCTTTCCCTAGTACATTTCCCTTGCTCACTGCCCTCACCACTAAAAATTCTTAGGCTTAGTCTAGTGTTCAAACTTCAGTTTGTCACCTCATTCTTATTCCACCCTTTTACAGACAGGCTGTGTAAAAAGATGGGATACATCTAAATGTCTTTATCAACATGTCTCTTCTTAGGCTTTAGTTTTCTACAGTTTTGTGAGACTGTTTCTTCATCCTGTCCTATTTGTTTAAATTTAGCACTGTATCTTTGGTTTAATTACCTATTTGTAATTTGTAGCTAGAGGAGCAGAGCTATACTTGTCCCATTTTTTAAAAAATTTCAATATTTGAGTTTAACCCTTAAACTGTCAGGGCAGATCTATATTCACATGTGTAGTGCTCCAAAAGTAGATCTACATTTTTTTTTTACATATTTTCAAATATTACAAAAAAAAAAAAAAAGTAGATCAGAGTTTTTTTTACACATTTTCAAATGTAAAAAAAAAAAATCTACTTTTTTTTTACATACTTTCAAATGTTGAAAAAACGTAGATCTACGTTTGGACAGTTTAAGGGTTAAGTAATATTTAGAGAGCTTACAGTAAAATATCATAAAAATTAATATTTCACTTGAATGTTATCAAACCCACCCTAAAAATTATATTTTTATACCTATAATTGTTTATATTTGAATGGAAATAAAATCTTTTGTATCCACTTACTAAGAATAAAATGTCACAATACAGTGGCTGGAACAATACATTTGTAACCTGCACTTAGGAGACTGAAACTTATGATGACACCTCAGCCCAACTTGGAGGAGGCAGCTAGAATATGCAGCGGCATAGTAGTGGTGGTAATGCTGCAGTGGTAGAGGTACATTGCATTATGACTTGTTAATGGTCCAAGCTGAGCCAAAATGTCTTATGTTTCATTCTCCTATGTACAGATTATTTGCTAAATTAACTTAATAAACAAGCTCATTTATTTTCACACTTGTAAATTTATATATCCATTTTTAAAAAGTGACAAGAAACAAAACTGAATAACCTGATCCCAACTCTGGAATCTGCCTCAGCACAGGTTAATGCATGTTGTGGAAGATCCCTACTCTAGAATGCTCTTCAGTACAGATTAACCTATGACGAGAAGGATCCCAAAGTAGAGATGAAAATATTCACACTTTGGAATCGTGTACTTTTTCAAAACGTGGGCTTTCCAAGTAATTACACTTTAGTGTACAGTATGACATTTACCTGACTAGATGCCATGAATGTATGGCAGCTGTAGAGACCCATGTTATAAGGGCTCTTCTCATTCCGTTGTAGATTATCAAAGCAAATGTCTGGTTTGGTTGCATTATTACGAAGCTACGAGGAAAGAATAGAAATATGTGAGGGCTTCAAGATTACCTTAAATACATATGGTTCCCAAGGTGATGTTTAAGAAGAAAAGTCAGAAAAATATAAAAGGGGAAAATATTTTTCCATAGTTGAAGATTGGAATGTATCATACATGCATAATGAGAAAAGTAATAATTGTCATTACATTACCTTGTCACATTAAGCTTATTGGTACTCTTTTTTACAATTACAAATTTAGGATATAAATACATAATATGCAAAACAAACTTTTACTGGTGCAGCTTTACTTTCAGGGTAGAGCTTTAAGAAGCTTCCAATAAAAGTTTGTTCTGTTTATTGTCTTTATATCAATGCCTGATGGCCTTACACCTGTGCATCTGATTAAAAATTGTAATTAATTTTTTATATATTGATTTTTGTGAGGGGATGGGGGTTTTATCAAGTTGGTAACAGTATAAAGCTCCAATTGGTTGAAACACAAAGGCTTGTGTTTTATTTGCCTTTTCGTGCACTTGTTGGCTTGCTGCCTCTCCATCTATCACTGTTTGTCATGTTACAAATAATTAAAATGCTCATAGGGGGTTAACATGTTATACAACAAATTGTGTATTCCTATTGCATTTACAAATGGAGAACATAACTGACAGAATAAAATCATTATGGCATCACTATCAAACCTTTGAACTAATTATTGGGACATTACTCAGCACCTTTCTAAGTATGGAAAGGTAAACATGTGCCTAAATTCATGTTCGGTAGTCACTTTTCCCTGAAACATGCAATTTCTCTTGGCAAAAAAAAAAAAAAAAAAAAAAAGAGTTTATGGATCACTGTATCCCTCAGTGCCTTACCTCATTTCGTAGAGGTGCATGTTGGCAAGAATACAAGCCAAGGGTGTAATCACTGTTGTCCAAATCTTCACGTTCAAGGGTATCAAGACATACAGGTATATTCATTCCAATGTTTCGCACCTGTGTTGGGTCATTACAGGTCAAAGGTCAAGTGTTAAAGTCATTGTTATGGGTTAAGTCAAGTCACAAAAATAAAACAGCAAAGTCAGAGAAGGACAAATATTAATAAACATATATACTGGTGTTATGCACACAAACACAAAACAAAATAGCAAATGTTCTATGTTAAAGTTGGCAAAAAAGACTTATGAAAAGAGAAGCAAAAAAAACTTTCCACAGAGGGCTTCTGTTAATTCAGTTTTAGCACTTTTTTTTTTGTTTTGTTACTGTAACAGCCATATGAGGTACAGTATTTTTGTACAATAATACATAAATGCAATGATTTTACTAATATTTATATTGTTTATTAATACATTAAAATACAGTAACATTGCAAATTGTAAATTTTGTTTGAAAAGATTTAAAAAAACACTAAAATTGCAGGAGTAATAAATATACAGGATCTGTTGAGGATTTAAGAGAGATGAAAATTAAGTAAATTAATACATGGTAAACCCTCTCATTTACTCAGGCAAAATATAAAAGACCTTTTCAATATTCTTTATTTATGGAACCTACTTATAGTTCTTTCTTGCCTAATATGTGCTTAGAGAACAATGTTCAATTCATAAAAAAATTTGTTCGATAAGAAACTCGTTAGGAAATATAAGTTACAGAATCTGAAGTCTTCTATCTTTTGAATTCTAGAATTTTCTATTCATTATAGGACCAATTATATAGAAAGCACAATACAAAAAAAAAAAAAAATACAGGAGAGAAGACATTTGGATTATTAACCACAGAAGGTTGATAACCCATGAAAATTAAACAGTGTAACTTATATCTTGGGATATGACTTGCAAGAACTGACTTTCAAGTATTTGCTTATTACTAGACAAATAGGGAAAACAGGTGTTAGATAACTTGCCTATACATTTCACTTCACCTAGGAGTGAAACCAGGTTGTCTGTCTGTTAGCCAGATGCTCTATCATTGACCTGTGAAGTACCTTCGATTACTGAACTTGGCCAAGAAAATTTGCTTAGCTTCACAAATCCCTTGTATGCCCCATCTGACAGTGTGGTGTGCAACGTCTGTGTTCAGATTTATTCGGCATTCATCAGACATCCATTTGTGCATACCCTCTAGACCAGCCAGACTGGCAGTCAGGTTAGAGCATTTTATTAGGGGCCCTGCTGCTCAGATTCTTTCTTCACTTTAAACGCCAACCTATTTACTGGGCAAGAGCTTGTCTATGGCCAAATTAAGGTTATGCTTTCACACCTGGCTGGGTGGTAGACACTCACTAACCCTGGTTGAATACATTTGTATTCGACCAGGTTTATCTTGTGGTGTCAAACCAACTGTAGTGAGTAGCTCTTTGCTCTCTTACTCATTACTCTGCTGATAATATACACTTTGTACATACTGTAAATATCTTGAAGGGTATATAAGGGTACCAAAAAAGAAAACCCTCTTGTGTTAGCCTTTGCCTTTATTTGCTTGGGTTGTTCCTTGTCTAAAGACAATTTACAGCCAGGTACAACATGCCTTTATCTGTGGACCTATGTTTGTAAGATGTGTACTCAGGAATGGAGACAATTACCAAAAAGATATTGCTTTTTAATTGGAAAATTTCAACACATGGCCCAAAACATCCAACTGGAAATTAGTTGGCTTGGCTACGAAGAAAAGCTGGACTGACAACTCACAGAAACTATGATGGGGCTGGTCTTTGACATTTATGATACTGGAAAAGTTGTGTGATGTATATCCTGACCACTTCCTCAAATACTGGAGAGGGAGAACTGTAACCAGTATTAAGGGGTCTACCTTTAGCGGCAAGCCTGTGGTCAGACTTCGTTGTTGACTACCTGGTCAACCGGGCTGTTGCTGCAGGTGGCCCACATAACTATACCAACCTGGTTAATCTGGCATTTGCAGCAAGCAGTGTTTTGGTTTCCTTTTGAAAATGTCTACTTATGTTTTAGAAATATTTCTGATATCTGCTGGCAGCAGATATCACACAAGAGCAGCTTAAAGCTTACAAACCACAGTACAGGATAAATAATCTATGAAAATCTAGCCATCAGAGCCAAGACTGCTACAGTTTTCAATACACGTGGGTAAAACCTATCAATTAAAATGACTGCACTGTGCAGTACAGGACTGTTCTGGAGGCAGCACTCCTTGTGGGTTTATTGCCTAGTTATGATTATAATGATCTGGGGGAAACAGGCAACAGACTGTGACATGAGGAAACAATGGCAATGGCTTGTACCCCTAATACCTCTTCAAGGGGGGCTCCTTGGCGTGGTGAAGAGGCTCTTGGTCTGAGGAATTAGACCTGTCGGTCTCCTTCCTCAGACCGAACCTAATTACCCCCCAATCCCCCCCTTCCCTATCCCATCCTCCCCTTTTCCCTTTCCTCCTCCCCCTCCCCACCCCTCCCTTTTGCCCTTCCTCTTTTTGGCTTTTGGGATTTTTCCCAAAGGCGCACTAGTTCCTAGGTAGGGGAAAGGGTACCAGGGTCCATCCCATTCCGTTGAGGTTCTTGGCGGTGGCATAGTTTGCCGTGGAATCTGGATCACCTGGGGATGTCCCGATCCCTCTTCGGTATCCCGGAGAGTGGCTTTGGGTGTCTTTTGGGCGACGGGTGTATCTCTGGAAGCCACCTTTCGGATTCCGGGGGTGGTGGCTGAAGGAGGTATGCTTTGTGGCGGATATCCGGCCGCCCTCTCTTTTGTCCACCGAGGTAGCTCGGCAGATGTGAGGTTGCTATCCTGGATTGCAAGTTTACTGGCATGACGGGTAGGGTATGGCATGGGTTCCATGCTGCATCTACGCTACTTGCGGTGCTGAGGTCCTCTTGGGCGCGGAGGGAGATTTCTGGCCCTTTCATTCCTCCTAGGAACTATCCCTCCCCATTCCCCCCTTTTTTTTATTCTTTTTTTTTATTTTTATTTCTTTTTTTTTCTTAAAAACAAAAAGAAAGAAGTAACCTAACCATGACAGCCCTAGTCCATGAACCTGATTCCCCCGGGCCCCTTCTTGATACCGCACCCCGTTCTGACCCCGCCTCGTCTTTGGACCACTCTTCGGACACTCCTCATGCCTCTGTACCTCTTGCCGGTGCCGTTTCCTCACCCGCTTCAGGTACTGAGGTCTCGACTGACTCCTTTAATTTATCTGACCTCTGCTCTCCTTTGACTATGCTTCCGGCCTCTCCCTCTATGGTGCAGCAATTTTCGAATCGCCGGCCCGTTCCACGTCGGACCAATTCTGGTCCCACGCCTAAACGCCAACGACAGTTACCTGCTGATGATACTTCTCCACCTTCTCGTTCTTCTCAGAAAAGATCAACACGTCCTGCACTCCCCTTCCACGCTCAGTTTCAGGCTGCACAATGGACTAAATTCTTCACTTTACGACCGACTTCCTCTACCGCCTATCTTTCCGACCACAGTATTGGCAAGGCACTCCTACGCCATGTTGGTAAAGATATTTCTTTTCATGCTCTTAAGAGCGGTACGCGCATCATCACTGTACAGAATGCTACCCAAGCTCATGATCTTTCTCTTCTTTCCCATATAGATACTGTTCCTGTCACTATTGAAAAACATCATTCCCTCAATTCTTGTAGTGGTACCGTCATTCTGCCCCATACCATAGTTCAACAAAATTTCCAGACATGTGGCAATGACATTCTTGAACAGCTGGAACTCCAAGATCTCCCAATCCTCAAGGTAGACACTTATGTTCTTCCTGCCCGCGGGCTGAGACGATACCCTAGCAATGTGGCTCGTTTAACTTTTGACAGCCGTGAACTCCCATCCTCAGTTTATGTGGCAGGACATCGGTTACAAGTTCGAAAGGTGATCCCTACACTGCAAGTGTAGAAATTGCTGGCAATTTGGCCATCCAGCGAAATATTGCAGATCCATAGCCGAATGCCCAGTCTGTGGTGCCGATGACCATTCTAATACGTCTTGCAATCGACCTCCCTCTTGCCTTAATTGTCATGAGGCTCACCCTTCGTACTCTCGCCGTTGCCAAGTCTACTTAAATGAGCGGAAAATCCGTTACCTCAAAGAGGAAGGTCTCCCTTATGCCATGGCAGTTTCTCATCTCCGCCTCTGAGGGAGACTACCTCGTGTTTCTTATTCCCGTGTTTCAAAACATCCCCCCACTTCTGGGGTCCCATCTTCTGCAGCCTCCTCTGTGGTTACCTCTCCCATAGTCACTCCTGTATCTAATTCTTTTGCTGTCCTAGGCTCAGACGTCCCTACTTCAACGCCTCAGTCTGTTCACGCTTCTTCGTGTTCTCCCTCACAAGCCTCAGTATCGACGAGACCTCGTACGACACCTCCTCCCAATCGTCCTTCTACTTCTCAGAAGTCAAAAAAAGGTCCTTTAACCCCTCCTTCCCTACTTCCACCTCCTCATTTTTACCTTCCCTGTCTCTGTACCGGGTTCTTCCCCTCTCACTGGCTCTGTTACAAGTGTAGAGGTTCACCCTCCTCCTCGTACTATACCTACCTCCCCTGTTCCCTCCCAGGTTTCTTCCTATTCTGCCACCTCCCAGGTTTCTGCCCCCTTCCACGCTTCTTCTCCAGTTCCCTCCACCCTTTTGCCCCCCCCCCTACCTTGGTACAGTCCATTACCATTCCAATCTTTACTCATCCTCCCCCTACCATCTCCAATATTGTCTCTCATACGTCGTCTCTGAATTCCGAAACACTTGAAGCAATCTCTGAATATATTGCAGAGACCAAACCATCAATGGACACTGATCCACCCTCTGTTCCTTCTCTCTCCTCTCCTCCATCTTCGCAACTCCTTTCTTCACAGCGCACTGTTCCTTCGCTGCTTGAACGTTTTCCGCTGCCTCCGCATGTGGACTTTTCTAACCCCTCTAGTCCGTAGGAACCCTTACCTGCGGATTTCAAGTATCTTTATCATTGCCAATCATGGCCTATTTACAGTGGAATATACGCGGCCTCAGGGGTAATCGGGGTGAG